TTTAACATATATCCTTATTCATCCGCACGTACACATTGGGAGGGAGAGATCAGTGTAACCGAAAATGATCTAAAGCTATTATAACGTAAGTAATTTTTAGCTTAACTAGGAAAGGGAAGAAGTTATAATTTGTTTTATTTTTAAAATGAATCTTTTCTCTGTTTTCTGAAAATAAAGAACATTGTAAAAAGAGAAGTTAAAAAAAATGTGTATTACGACTGCAATAAAAGTGAAAAAATTAAGAATTTTTAAATGTAAAACATTTATTTAGAGACTTGCATGTTTTTAAAAGACCTACACTAAAATCGATCTTAAGAGTGCCTTATGTGTTAATGAGATATAGATTATTAACTGGTAATTGAATTTATAATATCTTTTTCATTTGCTATCAATTACTGATTTCTAATCATTTACGAGTTTGTTATCTAGCATTATAATCATGGCTACCTGTTAACAACATCACCGGAAATTATTTTCAATGATAACTCAAACACAGCTATTTCATGTATTGCGCAATGCGTGACAAAAAAATTCGCAAATAAAATCACTTACAAATTCTATCAATCACTATCTAAAGTGACACAAACTTGACATCTTGATACATCATTAATGTCAATGTTCAAAACTGGCTTTGACAAAAGAGGCAACCACTGGTGTGGAAAAGCGTTTCTCTACTTAATATACAACAAGCGACACAATTATGGTCGCATATCTTGGCGACATGTCGTGGGTCGCCTAATACGCATACTGATGTACAGTTAGATAGATATAGCAAGTGTGGACAACAAACAGTGGCATCCTTTTTTTCTTTTCTCTTTCGTGTTTTATTGGTAAAAAAAGAAATTTTCCTTTTTAAATGATTGTAAAAGAATCTTCCTTATATTTATTTTGAAGTTAAATATTTTAGTGTTTCGAAACTTTTTTCAGTTCGAGGCTAATTGAGCAGCAGGAAAAGAATGTTTAGTTTACATCTTAATACGTTTACACGTAATACGTAATAATGTTTAGTTTACACCTTAGCTATGGACATTAATAATTAAAATTCGAGACTTTAAAGAAGGGATCCAGAAAATAATACTCGCGTCCTTCAAATATCTCAAGTAATAGCAATGAATATTGCTTAACACTCATTGAGGTATCTTGGGGCACTCGAAAAACTAAATGAATGGGCTTCGCGTTCGTTCAAAATGATTCATAATGTGAATTAGTATGACACTTGGCTGCGCTTCAAAACTTCTGATACTTCAGGCACTTGTTAAGATGATCCGTGAAAAATACGTGGTTGCTGTGGCAAAAGTGTTATTTGGGAAAATTTTATCTCGAATAGTGTTTTATAAGAAATGTGCTCTTTCAACGAAATTGAAGCTATAATTAATTAAAAATTTTTTTTTATATATTCCTGCTTCTGATAATTAATCTGCTGAGGAAGAACCTGTGAACTTTTTCAAAAGCAAGAATGAAATCTTTTGTTAATGAATTTGATAAATAATGTAATTAATAGAAATTAGTATATCTTTTTTTGTTACAATGACGAGGTATTTAATTATGGGCTCAACTCATTTTTAAACTTCCATTATTAGATCCATATTTTAATATTTTTGCATAACGTTTTCAATGTAATATAATTTACTATTTAAAAATTGCCTATAGCATAATATTTGCTACCTTTTTAAAAAAAATCAAAACACTGAATTTGAAATGCATGAGTGCGTAAAAGGAAAGAAAAAATGAAGAGGGAAAATAAATTCAAATAAAAAATGTAAATAAAAATAAATAAATAAACTAACTACAAAATAAATTAGTCTTATACAGCATTGAATAAATGGAGAGAACAGAACTAGTGAAATGTTTTCAAGGTTTAATAAAAAAAGCAAAATGTTAAATCACAAAAAAGATTTAAAAATTAACTGTAAAATTTCGATATTTGTTAGAACAAACTTAGTAATATTCAGCCGAAATATTTATTAGTTAAAAGATGTGTATTTTCTACTTATCTTTTGCTTACTTTACAAGAGTAGGGGATGAATGCACCAAAACTTTCTGTAAAAAAAAGTTTCTGTAAGAAAAAAAAGAAAGAAATGATGGTGTAAAGAGATCACCAATGTGATTAAGTGATAAAGCAATACTCAGAAAGACGATGAATCTGAGTTGAATTTATTAATGCAGTGGTTTTTCAAAATGTATTTCGCGAGTATGACGAATCCGAGTTGAATTTATTACTGCATTGATTTTCAAACTGTATTCCGCGGAACCTCGGTTTTCCGCTAGTTAAATTCCATGGTTCCGAGAGTCAAAATTAAGTTCGGAAAGAAAATTATAACGCATTTACAGTAGTTTATTAGTGTTTATTAACTAAAAAATATAAAGATGTATTTAGTTACAGATTAGTTTTAAACCTTAGCATGTGGTCAGTGTATGCCAGAGACAGGGACGTGATATGTTTTTCAAAATTAAATAGTTTTCGAATCGAAAATGAATTTAGACAAAAATGCTAAAAATTATGCAATGCATCAAAAATTAAGTATAACTGGATAAAAGATTCCTTTCGATTGCCTCGATAAATCTGAACATTTGCAATGGAAGAAAAGGAATAGCTTATCCACATGTGAAAAGGTTCGCAGCTAAAATTTAAATTTAAGTAAGAACAGCTTCTAAATTTTTGGTTTTATTTTCTTGCAAGACACCTAGAAGTTTCTCAGGCAGATATAAACATTTTAATGCCATTCGCAACGACTTATTTAAATGAGAAATCTTCCTTAACTTTCTGTGGCAACAGAAACAAAATAAAGAAATAAATCAAATCAAGAAAATGAAATGCAACTGAATATAAGATGAATAGAGCTGGAATTAGACAGTTAATACACACATGCAAGCACACCCATGTCACTAAATATAGTGTATGTGTAGGTCATACCTGTCTCGCCAGTTAATGTTATTAATGAGTAAATTGCATTAATTTTACGTAAAAATGAAAACAAAAATACAATATTTTTTAATTGTCTTTTACGTACCTGTTTTTAAATTGTTTTACTTACCTTTACGTACATATAACATATTGATCTACTTTAAGTATCATTTTAAGATAAATTTTTCTAAAGATGAATGGGATTCCTTGAAAAAAACCTTATAATTCTAAGTGTTCCATGACTCGATAAAGTTTGAAGACCACTGTATTATTGTGAAAGAAAATTTTGTTATAATAAATACTCTTGATACAGGACTACCAGCCAATTTCTTTATACATTGTGTGGAACATAATTTAAATTTAGTGTAGCAGAATTTTGGAGTCGCGGGAGCCTGCAACGCGTGGGAAAAGTCTAACGCCGGCGCTGTTGATATGTGAAAATAATGAACGACGAAACAAGATAACCTGCGGAATTAAAAATTTTTGAAGTTTTTATGCCTTTTTGTGAAAATAAAATGTCAGGCCTTGAAGGAAAGTCATGATGCTACTGCTGGAGAAAGATTTGGATTTGATAAAATATCGTGGGCAAGGACATGAAGGTGCAGCTGTAATTAGTGGAGCACATAATGACTGCAGCAATTTGTAATAGAAAAAAACCCGACATGCTTTCTTTATACATTGTGTGGAACATAATTTAAATTTAGTTTTAAAATATGCTGTTGAAAGAAACTTAAAAATTTAACAATTTTATGAAACAGTACAAAATGTATATGATTATTCTGGTCATAGCGTGGTCCGTTGGGAAGAATTGGAACAATGTACCAGAGTGAATCATGTAAAAAGAAAATGAGACTTAAAGTTCTAAACCCAACTCTCTGTACTAGCACATATGAAGCACATTATGTACTAAATAACAGGTCTTGTGATGCTATGAACTGCCTCCACCACATGATTCTGAGTAACCAAAAAGGAAAGGAAAGAAATAAAGCGATACAACTTATAATAAATATATAAATTGGAAATATTTGACTTTGTCCTACTGTTAGCTGACGCCTCCTAAAACTCTACAATGCAAAGTTTTTGGATGCCTAAGCATTACTTTAAAGTCTTTGTTCAAGTCAAAATTTTGGTTCGTCTTTGTTCGTGTAATTTCTTTTTACTTTGATATAAAATTAATTGTTTAGAGGAAGTATAATATAATAGTGTATAAGTACTAATAAAAATACTTAAATTCAGAATTAGAGTAGCAGAATGCCACCTCTAAAATGCATACGTACATTGAAATTATTACCGAGAGCAGAAAAATAGTGTCCTTTGTTGTGGATCAATTTTGTAATTACATCTAACAGCATGCAGACAATATCTTACTGAAATGTGTCCGCTATTACCATGTGCATTCTAGTCATGACAAACCTTATATACCTTTTTGAGTGAAAAGCTCCTGTCAAAAGCAACTGTTTTTAAACAATTTAGTTCTTGATCAAGAGTTAATTTGGAGGAGCAAACTTGACGTTTGCATTTTCAAGTTTACACCTTTTTGATTCTGCGATAGATTTCTTAACTTTGAATCTCAAAGGTATTTTTCCCTTTGCAAGAAACAAAGAAGTTTTTTTGTTTTTCAAACATGTTTGTCAAGCTCTGGCACTTTCACGTGTTCTGCAAGCATGGTTCTTAGGTTTTCCATTATTCGTTATTTTCAACGTTATTTATTTATTTCGTATACTATTCAAAAAATAAAACATCGCTATATTATTTTTGTTTTAACTTCTGCGAAAGAATTTTTTAAGTATTGAATTTTACATAATAAATTAGTTGCCCAAAAAAAGGAGGAAATTGTCACATGATATATATAAATGTCACATTTAAGCTCTTGTTGGTAGTATAGTTAAGACAAAGAGAAAAAAAAGAGTTACTAACTGGTAGCTTTTCAAGAAGTTTCGGAGAGCAGAGTTAGTCTGGTAGTTAAGGAGATGTGGGAAACTGTAATCTAAATTTGATGCAACCAACGATTATAATTTATAATTGTAATAACAATGTTTATTCTATGGCAAATATGTTAAAAATATTAATTAGATTGCAATTCTTTTTGTTTTAGGTTGCAACAAAGTATATACCAAAAGTTCCCATTTGAAAGCCCATCAGAGGATCCATACAGGTAAATATATTTATATCTCTCTGTTTTTTCCTTCCCCCCCCCACGCAATGTTTAAAGTAAAAGGAAGCTTTTGCGTTCCAAACTGTTTTACGTTTTTAAAGAGTAGTGTTAACATTGCCTTAAAATTATTTTTGAAATAACTTTGGTTTTTCTGAACATAAACATATCTGGCTTGTAACAAATATTTTACATGTTAATGAATTACTTTGTGATGTATTTCACGAGTTTTGAAAATGCACTTATTCAGTTTTTTTTTCAATAAGATTACTGTAACTGCACAAACTTGCAGAACTAAACAAGTGATTGAAAGTGAGATATATATTTGATATATTCTCAGCTATAAGTGATGAAACCCGTAGTTATTTTTAAACAATTAATGAAGGACAACAGTGCAAAAGAACAAATAACGAATTCTGGGTCTGAAACTAACAAAATACGTCTCATGGATTTGCTCTAATGATAGATTAGTATCTGATGTAACTGAGATCTATCAATAAATAAGATAATACGTCATAAATAAGAAATTTTTCCATGCTTTCTGCTCTTAAAATAAAAAAGTTAATTATAGCATATCATTTTCGTCTTGGAAAAAAATCTCACAATGTTCTCTCTTCATACAAAGTAAAGATTTTTTTGAGTAAATAAATAGAATGTAAATTCATAAATACCAGAGAAGTCTAGTAATTCAAAAAGCTAATTTTACTCCTGTAAATGCTGGGGAATTTTGAACTGTTATTTAGAATATACCAATCATGCTTCATTTTCAACAATGTTCCTAGAACAGATGCTTCAAATTTAGGATAGCTTACAAAAGCGGGGGAGAGAAAGAGAGAAATAAATATGATAGTTTTAGAGAACGTGAAAATCAATGTTTATTTTATATTAAAAGAAAACTGCGAATGCTGTTCTTTGATGCCTAATAATTTGCAGTTAGATTACTATTTATAACTTAAAATTTTATTAGAGTAATTCTGTGTATCGCAGAAAAAAAGCAATGTTACAGTATTTGAACTTTTTAATGAAAGATCACTTTAATTTCTACAGATATTTTAATCATATATGAGGACTTTAAAGAAATATTTCCCCTAGTTTTAAAGGCCTGCAATTTAATTTAATTTTAATGAATGTATCATCAATAATATTATTATAGTGCCATTTTTATTTCATATCATAATATGTCTAATATGGAATATAATGTAAAAGGGCAGTGCCCCTTTTCCATATGATGATATTTATGGTTTTAATGTTTCTAGCATGAAAACCAGAGTTCGAACACTGACCGTTTTAATCGTTGTCCCAAGGTAAAACATTAATAAGTTAATTTCATAGAAATGAAGCAGAAGTATTGCACTGTTTGCATGTAGCATTCTTAGGGAATATCTAACGAATGATTTTTATTTACTCATATTTTACTCGTGTGATAAATATATTTGTTAAAATACGAATATCGACATGCATTTGTGAAGACACCTCGAAAGACCACATTTATTTCACAGGCAAAAGAAATTGTAATAGAAGAATAATTAATGCAAGAGGTTTAAATTTGCTTATTAAGTTTTTTATATGTTTACTCTTATTGCTTTCTTACCCTAGGCAATTTCTTTAAGCTGCCTCATTTTATTTTGAATATAAATTCGATTAACTGTGCCATCATTGACATTTTAGATATTATCGATTATTATAGATCTAGATAGATATTATCGGGATTGCATTCCCTATTACCTTTCTTTTCACACCGAAAAGGTTGTTTTGACTACCTCTGTGTTCAAGATTTACACGATGCTATGAAAGAGTTGATGAATGATAAAGTTATGGAAAATTCTTACAACTACTGTAGACTTATGAGCTTTTTTGTAAGTGTAATTTCCGGATAGTCTGGGGAAGAAAAATTGGAAGCCAGAATAATTTATTTTACTATCGTTGAAGGAACCGTGTGAAAACTTATAATTCATTCATGTTCTTAAATAGTTCTTGTACTTTCTTTCATGAAGCATGTTATGCCGAGTAGTTGAGAAAAAACTCCACTTTTCAAGGCTTATTGATGAAAGCTAAGTTTAGACTACTAGCTTGAAAAAAAAATTGCTTTTATTACACAAATCAGCGTTATGCTTATATAAAAAGCGTGTCACTTTAAATAAATGCACTACAAGCACTTTACAATAAACACCACTGTACATGGATTTTTTTTTTAACACATGAGGCTACAGAATCACAAAGCGAAAACATAGGTGTGTTAGTTACGCCTTAAAAACCGTGACAAACAGTTATCTTTTCAGCTCATTCTTTACGAGCCTTTTGAATACTATTTTTCAACACATTTTGAACTCATCTTGGTACTATAATGCGAACAATAACATAATGACCCGCGAAAAAAAGGAAAGGTAAAAGAGATTAACAGAGGCAGCGACTTTTAATCCTTTTGTTACTATATGAGGGTGAAAGAAATTATGTTTTCATATCTCTAAACCGCTCGCAGCGTCTTTTGTAGATCCCTAAAATTGCCGCAAAATAGGACTTAGCGGGGATTACACTAATCCCTGTGGAAATTCGCGTGCCGGAGGTTTTTTAGAGATTTTTTTTAACCTGCATCCATTTTTTGCATTCTGATTGAAAGAAGGATAGGGGATATATTTACATATTTACGTAAGAATGCATCTACATCTATATGGGTAGATATGCTTATGCATAAAAATATACACATACATATGTATATATATACACACACACATATTTGTGGCTATCTGGCTATATCTATTTATCTATCTATGGGCATATAATATTCTTGTCTGCCCAACAGTCTCACGCCTTGATTTCTGGGCTCTTTGTATTCCGTTTTTCTTTCCGTTCTTTTTTTTTTTTTTCTTTTTATATCTCTCTCGCTTCCACCCCCCTTCCTAGGAAGGAGATGATAAGATGTCGTTCTACTTCCGAGTTGTCTAAGTCCTTTAAAGATTTCCTTGAAAATGGGACTTTCTGACTTTAAGGGAGCTGTGAATAAATTATGAGAGCAGTTTTAAGAGGTCTCAATAAATGATATTCTGTGTAGAAAAAACATTTAAAAACACTTTTGCATTTAATTTGTTAGTAAATATTAGTATACTTGATATTTAAAGTGTTATTTTGTCGGCGACTAGATCAAAGCAGTTAAGATTCCGGAAAAGGCATCGTTTGTTATGGAGAAAACTTTTTATGACGATGGTTGATTTATATAGGGGACAAATGTGGTTTAAGTTGCAATTTGATGGTTAAGAAGGATGTTTAGGAATTTTTCATGAAAGCAAAAATGTAGCAGAATTCAGATAAATCATGATATCGAACGCAAGACTGCTTGAAATAAAATTATCTTAAACGTTATCTTAGTTCAGATAAAAGTCGATGTTTGTGCTTTCGGGTGGCTTATTCAAGGATTGGTGATTACGATGAAAGCATTTGTGACAATATTTAATATTTGGAAATTTCATAGTTAGATTAAATTTTATTTCATGTAACATCAATAATATTTCTTCTAGAATTTATAATTTCTAGCGAGAGGGGGGGGAGGAACAAAAGCTTGTTTATAAATGCACTGAGAAACGACCTCATTTTTTGGTAGTGTATTGTTTCCTGATGATGATATCATTAGGTATATGAAAGTATATGAAAAAATATAACGTAACTATTTCTCCACCAGGTCAGAAATGTTTCAATTTCATTGAAAATATGTGTTGCTTACTTGATAAATTTATTTATGTCTTAAGCAGATAAGAAAGTGCATTTTATACTGATATGCTATCTATCGAAAATACTCGTGATTATGCAATAAAACGAACAGCATGACTCCTCGAAGAATCACGCAATCATCATGAAAACACAAAGGTTTTTTTTTTTCTCTCTAAGCCCGTATCTGTCATTTATCATTTGCTCATGTCTAGGCTTAGAAAAATAAAGCTTTTTATAACATTAGAAACTAGTTTTCCATGTCTTTAAAGATAGCTGTATAATTTATATCAATAGTAAAATCTCCATGTTCTGAAGTTCAAGAGACAGGAAAGATTATTTTGTGTATTCAAAATTTGTAAGAAAATAATATTTTTTTCTCTTTAATGATTAATGAATATTATTTGTTTTCACAAATGTGAAATGGGTTTTATAAATTCTAGTTCTTATAATAAGAAATGAAATTATCTTTAATATGTATACTTAATTCCAACACACAATGGTACATAATCTGTCATAATTGATATATCTTGAAGATTTAATGATATATTTTGAAGAAAGATAAAGCATTTAAACTGATAATTATTTCAGCATAACGAAAAGTAGTAGAATGTTGACTTATTCAGTTATTAATTAATAATCATTACCTAATCACATGCTTTCAGTTAGAGAATTTTTTTCCTTATTACTAGCTTCTGCATCAATACTTAGTTCACCATAATCATGTCTTCAAACACGTTCAAGCGTCTTCCTTAATTTTTCCAACCCTTTAAATACAAACTTTTTTTAATTAAATAACTTTTAAACTTTCTCTTAACTATCAAAATCGTAAAAACAACCTTGTATTTAGCGTAGGTATAATGAAACACTCAATCGATTTCGAGGGCAGCTATAGGTCCCTCCTCATCAGGAGAAAGAAATACTTAGAAAGAAGAAAATAAAGGAGTCACAGAAACAAATTGTTTCTCTTAACTATTTTTCAGATACAAAGAAAGCACAAAATGTACCAAAAAGGTGACGACAAAGGACGTTCTTATATGAGAAGAACAGCATCTGTAAAACATTGAGACTAGAAAAATGTGTAGTCCTGAACGATTTCTCTAACAATTTTCATAATAAAATTTAGCGCATTAGGAATATAGATTGGTTCTAATGATTGAAGAAAAGGTGCGGGCTACATAGGTCTTTCATTCTTAAACTCAAAGCTATATAATTAAGCCTTACGATAATTTTAAAAGCTTCGTAAGTTTCTTTGTTTAGTCGGTTCTGAAAAAGCATAAATTGGCTAACTGCCGAAAGAAAGT